ACGTATCGGCGACAGGTTTGTTGCAGGTTTTAACACAAACTGCAGATTCACGTCCATTTTATAAGCAGCTTACACAAGTTTATTTTAAATGCATTCAGGTTTATAAAGAAGATCTACCTCAGCTCAAAGAGCAGTGCAAAGAGAAACATCGAGCAACAGCAATGAAGAAGAGAGAACGAGCGCCAGGGAACGGGATCAAGCTGCACTTCATCCATGGGTATGATTGAAGAGAGCTGATTTTATTACTTCCAGCTATGCCAGTTGTCTTTTCCCAAAAATATCACTTCGTACATTGCAGCTACAGGGGCTACGACTGCAGAAGCAACCTGTTCTACACCCAGACAGGGGAGATTGTCTACCATGTAGCTGCTGTTGGAGTTGTCTACAACAGGCAACAAAACACTCAACGATTCTACATGGGCCATGATGATGACATACTTTGTCTGGCTATCCACCCTCTGAAGGACTATGTAGCAACTGGCCAGGTAGATCCCAAAAGTCAAGGTTTTTTTAGTCAAAAAACAAACACATTAAAGCACATTTCAGATCAGTTTATTCCAGTCTGATCAAAAATTGTGATTTGTTCTGATTCTGGGGTTCGTTCCTCCAGGTTGGCAGGGATTCCTCTGTCCACATTTGGGATACAGAAACGCTAAAACCCATGTCTGTGTTGAAGGGTTTTCACCAGCTTGGAGTGTGTGCTCTCGACTTCTCAGGTAATCACTAACCATTCAAGATGGAATATATATATATATATAATACCTTGCAAAAGTATTAATACCCCTTTGAGTGTTTTTGAAATTTTCTACGTCAAACTTGCATGAAATCCGTTTTAAATAAATAACTCCTTAATATTAATTTTTTTAAAAAGTACTAGTTCCACTGGCAGATTACTTCACTTATAACATGGGAAACGTGTTTTGTTTCAGTGGAATTATTATTTTTTATGCCAATGTTAAGAAATTATTATTATTATTATGATTGACTTAAAACAAGCTTATATTTCTTGCTGAAAAGTTACTTGTAAGTTAGTTTTGTCTTATGTCCAGTAATCTAAAATATTTGTTCTAGAAACTAGACAAAAAAATGCTTGGTAAGATTTTGTCCAATCACATTCTGCTTTCACAAGCTACAGAGAACTTGTAAAGAATGAATTTAATTATTTCGCAAGGCAACCAATTTAGAAACAACAGTAAAAAATCTATTTCTGCCATCTTCTGGTCACGGTTGTCTTAACAGCTTTCAGGTAGAGCTCCTCATCTCTCTGTCTCTAATTAGGCCCAGATAGACGTGTGGCACAGATCAGTGATGCGCCTGCTGCAGATCAAACCGACTGGGGGGCTTTTATGTTGCTAATAGGAAGCAAACTTCAGTGGAGCAAAGTGAGGACTGGCTTTCTTATCACTAATGTGCTTAATTATTTTTTCCCCTTCACAGCGGATGGCAAACGTCTGGCCTCGGTCGGCCTGGACGACAATCACACCATTGTGCTGTGGGACTGGAGGAAAGGCGAGAAGCTCTCTGCCATGAGGTTAGTTTAAAGCAGTTAAATCATACGTTTGCCCCTGTGGCCTGGTGCTTCGAAGATTCAACCAACCTCACTGTTAATTCAGCAGAGTGCGACTTACTTAAATATGGACATTTATGGATGAGAGCTAAATTGGAGCCACTTTGCAGCTGAAAGCTGATTAAAATGAGAAGTGGATAGAAAGGGAATTACTTTCTATGCTACGAGGCTCCTGAAGTGCAACACTAAACCCTGCTGAATGGCTACTAAGTTTGGTAAAGTATCTTTGTTTACACCCATAATTAAAAGGAACTTGAAGTAAGGAATCAGTCAAATCTTCTCTTCGTAAAGAGATGAACTACAGCAAAATATGTTGTTTTGTCCTTTAGCAAAATGGTTCACAAAAAGAAATAATATTGTGAAAATGAATCACCTCTTTACAGATTTCTCCTTTTTGCTTTTTCTATATTTTGGAGCATCAAAAAAATGTTGAGTATAATAATATTAGCAATTATATAATGCAGGAAGTCAGCTATGCAACCAACCTGCACATTTGTTCACCTCTGAAAAAGAAGATTTTGGAGTGTCTAATCAACATCTGAGCTTAAATACGCTGTCGTAAACGAGCCTTTCATGCTGGAAATCTGTCTGAATTAAAACAACTCCGCAAAGACTCTCCAGAATAATGAGCAAAGCTCATACTTAACGATAGTTTATATGAGGTAAAGCACAACCAGTTATTGGGTATCAAGTTTGTTTGGATAGCCTTTTTTCCTTAATAAATGAATTCACTGTTTTGAAACTGTGTTGTATTTACTCAGATTAACTTTGTCTGATATAAAATGTGTTTGATGATCAAAAACGATGAAGTGTGAAACTAGAAATATAAAGAGAACAGTAAATATGTCATTAAAAGTTAATGTTTTAACATCAAGTCTGTGACAGAATTGCTTTCTTTTCTAGAAAAGGTACATGGATGATTTTACAAAGCCCTTAAATCTTGACATGTGAATTCCCTTAAATCTTGACATGTTCTATTACCTCTTTTGCCTCAAAAGTCGCAATATCAAGAAGCAACTGGTTGAAAAGGCAGCTAAAACATCTATATAACATAAGCAACCGTTTCACTGTTGCTCAGTCATTCGATGGAAATGTTTCCCTCCTGGCTGCTTTAGAGCAAGTGCAGTGCAGGTTGCTCCCAAGGCTCTTAATATACCTCAGGGACAGCCTGGAGAAGCATTAATCTCCTTTACAGACCCTGGTTGTGCAGCGCAGTGAGGTGCACAGAGCTGGCTTGTACAGCATCACTGTCTCATCTTTAGCTGGATAAGGAGGTGGTGGTATGAGCCACAGAGGCTGCAGGGAAAGGCAGATATTCTAAAGAAAGTCTAGACTTAAAAAAAAAATCAGGCAAACCACTGAGTTATTTTACTTATGGGTATTGTCTTTTAATTATGTGAATTGTATTTATATTGTAGCTTAAATAATAAAAAAAATTATTTAAAAATGTTCAGTAATATCCATAACATATTTTTTATGAAAATGTAACATTTATTTCAAACTCCATCGTAATATTTTACGTAAAGACAATTGTTTCATAATCACATTTTCACAAGTCAAATTATGAATCACCGAATATTGCAAACAGTATAATTGTACATAAAACATGTATATAAAATACAGTAACTTCAAATTTAGCAGCTTCATGCTGTGGAGATGCAGAAATGTTAGAGGCTGCACAAGACAAGAAGTTCAGCTTCCAGCTGAACAACTCAAGCATAAAGTCAGAGCTGCAATCAAAGTGTATCAACACTAAGAATGACCTAGTCAAAGTCCAGACCAAATTCCACATATAAACTCTCAAATTTCAATTTGAGAGAACTGAAAACCGATGTTCACAGATGATCTCCACCTCAACAGACTGATCTTGATCTGGAGGTATTTTGCAAAGAAAAATGAGTAAATATTTCTGTCTGTAGATCTGCGGAGCTACCTGGTTCTGTCCAGAAAAGTTAGGACTACTAAGTTTTGACTCACTCTATATAGTTGTATCACATGAAATTCCACTGAAATACCACAAAATGTAACTTCATTTAATTGCAACCTGACAGATGTGAAGCAGGTTCATGGAGTATGAATACTTTCAAATAAATACGCTTAAAATATGTATGCTAGGATATACAATATTGTTTGTGTGTTGTTTTTCAGAGGAAGCAAGGACAAGATATTTGTAGTCAAAATAAATCCCTACCTACCCGACAAGCTCATCACTGCTGGTGTGAAACACATGAAGTTTTGGCATAAAGCCGGTGAGACTTTGCTTTTTTTTTCTTGCCATGTTCACAGAATTAGACTCTAACAAGCAGAAACTCTATTGTGGCTGCCTGTGACACATTTCAGAGCCAGTTCACCGTCTGCCTCTGTTTCAGGTGGTGGTCTAATTGGACGCAAGGGGAACATGGGGAAGACGGAGACGATGATGTGTGCTGTGTACGGCTGGTCGGAGGAGATGGTGTTTTCAGGCACATGCACAGGAGACATTTGCATCTGGAGAGACATGTTCCTGATGAAGACGGTCAAAGCTCACGACGGCCCTGTTTTTAGCATGCATGCTCTGGAGAAAGTGAGTTACAGAACCAAAGGAAAGGTTTTTATTTTCTTCTGACTTTATGTTAATTTCGGGCTCGGTCTGTTTAGCTTTCTATTTTTATTGTGCGTAGACCTTTCTCACATATGCTCTGGCAGTGGCATGTGAAAACAGACTGGTAGTATTACAGCTGTGACACTTTCTCCCCCTCAGGGCTTTGTGACTGGTGGAAAGGATGGTATTGTAGCTCTGTGGGATGACACTTTCGAGAGATGCCTGAAGACCTACGCTATAAAGAGAGCTGTCCTAGCTCCAGGCTCCAAAGGTAAAAAGGTCATCCCGTTGCCAATTACCCTCCTCTGTCCTTGGATCATTCACCCTCTCCATTTACAGAATTCAACTAATTTATGAAAATACATATGTAAAATTCACATTTTGCACATTTATACTTCCACTTGGGTCTCAGTTGCTTCTAAATCACTTAAAAATCACAAAAAGCAACTCCCCAGTTGCTTTTTGGTAGTAAGATTTTTGTTATCTCCCTATTGCTAAGTCACTTTCTACGGACACTGTGCCGTTTCCTAGCCTTGCTCCTCACCTAGCAACCCCAGTCATGCCCTGTTACCTAGCAACTAAAGTGGAGCTCCAGCATGTTTGGTCAGCTGGTTTTACCACTGTATGAGCTGTACAATGGCTACTGGAAAAGGCAAGTGTTTTGCCCTTCCATAAACCACTTGCTGCATTCTTGCTGATTGTACAGGAGGCTCTACTTCTACTTTTCAAAGATGTACAGTTGTATAATTTCACATCTGTTTGCAGCCATTTTCACATGTGAGTGTAAACATTGAGTTGGAGTGATGTGGCCAGCAGCAGCTTATTTGGATTTAAGGTGAAAAGAAGCTCTAAAACAGCTCTTTCTGAATGAGATCAAAGTAGGCTGAACTGACCAGACTTGAATCTCTTTATCTAACAATGATTTTGTATAAAAACGTAATGAGCATGTTATGTATAGCCCATAGGCCTATAGTTAACTGTTGAAGAAGTTATATTAGTTCACCTTTGCAATCATTCGAGGTGTTACATATTGCAGTTTTGCTTTAAGACTTTATTGTATACATCATTCCCTCTGCAGGGCTTCTGCTGGAGGACAACCCCTCCATACGTGCCATATCTCTCGGCCACGGCCACATCCTGGTTGGGACCAAGAACGGCGAGATCTTGGAAGTGGACAAGAGTGGTCCCATCACTCTCATTGTCCAGGTGGGAGAACAAAAAAAATACACCATGCAACATTCGAAAGTATGTATCATACTCCTTGAACTTTTTTACATTTGATCACATTACAAAGGCAAACTTCTGTGTATTTCTTAGGATTTTACAAAACACACCAGCAGGAAAAAAAGTGTACTTGTTTAGTATAAAGAAAGGAATGTACGGTTTTTAAAGGGAAGAAGCTGCAGAGGCATTCACAAATGAAAGCCAGAGCGGTCCTGTTTGCAGTTCAGTAAAGACCAGAAAGGTCAGAGATAAAGTTGTTTAAAAGTTTAAAGCTCCAGAGATCCACAGTACAAAGGAAGAAAATGTTGACGATCATTAGTTGTACCCTCCACAAATCCCCCAAAAATCTAAAATGCTTCTCTTTTAAGCAAGAGTCTGCCTTTGACACCGTTTGAATACTGTGGACTCATCATTTTGTGTTCTGGAGTTGGATGCCCTGACCATTCCTTTTAAACCTGTGGAACAAAGGGCCTTTGAACATTAGAGTCATGCAGATTGTTGATCATTTTAAAACCTAAAAACCAAAGTCTTCTCTCTGGCTTTTATTTACAGCTGAATATTTAACCTTTTGCTATATTTTGCTAAATCCCAACAAAAAACCCTAAAATTCGTGGTTGAAATGTGACATGTGAAAAAGTTTAAGAGGGGTGAATAATTTTGTGAGACACTGTTACTGAAGGTTACATCAGACTTTGATTTTTTAAGTGTACCAGAAACCAAATGACTAAATATTGTCACTGACAATTTACCTGGGAGTTAAAAAAGCATGCTTGTGCATTCATCTGTTGTGTGGCTTTCAGCTGGATAATAATGGTGCAAACTAATCTCTAGAGATTCAGAGGCAATAATGCGGATGAATTAGTGCCAATCAATAAAGAAATTGTTAATTTGGTTAAGTGATCCTGGAGTGTCCTCCAATCCACAGTCTTTTTGATTTTGGGACAAAGAGAATAAATGCTCTTGCCCTGCTGATGCAGATTTCAACAGATGGGATCGATTCATGCGAGACAAGAAATTGAATTTGCTCCTGAATCTGGTCTCTAGGTAACAGGCGAGCTAGTTGAATCAGAATGTAAGTGATAGACCTTGCTGTGAAGACGGTGCAGTAAGTTAAAGGTTACATTGTGTGCTGCCGATCGCTGCTTCTAGCCTTTTAGCACCCTGTTTTTCCTCATCACCTGTTCCTGGATTAAATATTTATCCTCTGGGATGTGTCTGCAGGGTCACATGGAGGGTGAGGTGTGGGGCCTGGCCACTCATCCCCACCTCCCTCTCTGTGCCACGGTCAGCGATGACAAAACCCTGCGCATATGGGACCTCTCGCCCAGCCACTGCATGCTGGCTGTGCGCAAACTCAGGAAAGGTTTGTCACATTTAAAAACACCACAGGATGAATGTATTTTCCTGACAGCGAGTGTGCTGGTTTCAGGGCTTTAACAGACAACCTGTCCTCCACAGGCGGCCGCTGCTGCTGCTTCTCCCCAGATGGGAAAGCCTTAGCGGTGGGCCTGAATGACGGCAGTTTCCTCATTGTGAACGCAGACACCCTGGAGGACCTGGTGTCCTTCCACCACCGCAAGGACATCATCTCCGATATCAGATTCTCTCCAGGTTGGCGGTTCACCTACGCATTTCCTTAGTGGGCGAAAAAAACTCCTCCCAATGTAAATAGAGCTCTTAAATCCCCGTGCCCTTCAGAGCAGCTGGGTTTACGGCGGGTAGGAGGCTGGGCTGCATATCAGCAGGTATACATGATTTTCCCCTCCCGCTGTGAGTCAGGGGGGAACAGACCGCTGCAGGCCTGACCCAAATTAATAGCTTTCTGTAACAAGGCCAGACAGAGAAGCAGTGAGAGGGGAATGAGAAACAGTGGGGGTTGACAAAGTGAGAGCAAGAAACTAAACTCTCCTTCGTCTGGACACTTAATCTTCAAAGAGATCCTGTTTCTTCACGCAGCATCCATGGATTCCTGACACAGCTGTCAGTTGAAGTCTCGGGATACAAAATGGGCTTTTAGTACTGTTAAAATGATAATTATTTTAGTTAAAGTACACACAGCTGTCTGGCCAAGGCTAAAATTTGACAAAGGGTCTAAAATTTCCACTTTAGCATTTAAAGTTACAGTTGTGGTCAGAACAATTTGGGGTTATAATGATCCATTTGACCTGCTCTTTTTCAAGGGTGGCATAATTATATAACAAGAATTAGGTACATTGTAAGCGTCTAAAGATGCAGTATGCAACTTTTTAAAGAATGTTTTTGACATATTTGTTAAAACTGCTGTCATGTCGTGATTTTATGCCACGAGACTGATAATCTGTGAAAAGATTGTCTGAAGTAATGCATTGCTCCCAATCAAAAACAACCAATTACAGTCAAGAGGAGTGTCTTAGCACTGCCAGTCAATCTCATGTACTCGCTGCTAAATGCGCTGACGGCAGAGGAACAAACTGTTTACCCACAGACAGCAGTAGCCATGCTAACTAGTCTGTGCTGGTTGCAGCATAGCAGAGAGAAAGAAGAGAAGGTGGGGGGGGGATGAGCAGCGCCACACAGAGAGGTGATTGACATATTTAAGACCCTCCTTCTGGCTCTGATTGGTTGTTTCTAGGTAGTACTGGGAGAAGGCAGAGAAGCTTGATCTTTTTTTCACAGATTATCTGTCTCATATTATACTGTCACAACATAATGACAGTTTCAACAACAGAAAAACAATCTTATAAAAGTTACATACTGAGCTCTCTTGTTATGAGCAAGTTTGTCCTTAAAATTAAAAAGTGTCTTGTTAAACCAAGAAACTTTCTTATAATAATAAAATGAAAACCTGCTGACTCAAATTGTTCATAGGAAAGTGTTTAGGATGTGAAAGAGCAGCTCAGATCCAAAGCAGATCAAAGCTGCTTTTTAGGAATAGATAAAGTAGGTTAACAATAAGCTGCTACAATGACTCTGACCTCAGCCTTAATAAAAATCTATGAAACCAACCAGTTTAAATGAACTCTGCCAATGCTGTCAAGCAGAGAGGTCCAATAAAAACCCAGCCAGAGTTATGCCAGTAGCCTGCTGATTGCTACAAAGTATGTGCGATTTCTCTGCGTTTATAAGTATAAAAAATACCATTTTGTATTTGAAGAACATGCAAAAATATATTTTCTTTCAGGAAATCTTTGCAAAAATAATTAATAGGTTTATTTTTTTATTGGCTCAGGAGCCGGGAAGTACCTCGCAGTCGCCTCAGGAGACAGTTTTGTGGATATTTACAATGTAATGAGCAGTAAACGGGTGGGAGTGTGCAAAGGATGCCTCAGTTACATCACCCATCTGGACTGGGACAAAAGAGGTAAACAGGACTCTTAAGGCAAAAATGTTTTTACTGCTTTGCCTCTGAAATAGGTGTAAATAAAATTAAAGTGTCTCTGGATGCTCTTGTTCACAGGAAAACTCCTCCAGGTCAACACGGCAGCTAAAGAGCAGTTCTTTTTCGAAGCTCCTCGTGGCAAAAGGCAGACCATCCCTGCGTCTGAGGTAAGCAGGGCGGGGGGAGAATAGACGCAGGATCAGCCGTGGCTGTGGCGCCTCCAGCCCGCGTTTTCCCCCTCGGGATCAGACGAGACTAGGCGAAGGGCAGTGAAGCATTAACACGGCCCATTTTTCACCAGTATCGTTCTAATTTGGGCCATGGAAGTGGGATAGTGTTTGTGGTCTTGCGTTAATGCGTCGTGACATTCAGGCACCTTGCGAGGCGCGCAGTGGAGGGGCGCATTTACAAAATAAGTGTCAGTGATGATAAATGCTGTAAGGTCGAGTCTCAGTGGAGAATGACACATCCTTCTTAGGCATCTATCTTCTCCTCACATTCATTACATTAGTCTCCTGCAGACGTGATCAGATGGGGTCGGTTTTTCTGCTCGCTACTCAAATAAACAATATAACTTTACCAACTCATTATAATATATGTGGTTATATTAGTTTGAAAACACCCAGAGGTGTATAACCTCCACCAGTTTAGGTGTTGGTATTGTTTATGTAAAGTCAGGTTAATCCAATGAATGTGTATTATATGTAGTGGTGACTGATTTAAAACATCCAAGGCAAATGTTGAATTTTTGCACATTTTATGACATTGTCACCATAAATCTTATTTCTGTTTTACTGAAAATTTGTGATAGAATGACACAAAGCAACACACATTTATATAGAAGACCTAGAAGGAAAATCATACGTATTTTTCACATTTTTAAAAATGAAAATATGAATGAAAATCTGAAATATTTGCCATGCATTTTTATTCAGCCACCCACAGTTTTCCCCCTGGTAAAATTTTTAGAGTCCAGTTGTGTGTAATCTCAGTAAACACATCTGTTCTCTGAAGTATTGTAGCTGTAATGTAAGAGTTTAAGGTATATATATATATATATTTTTTTTTTTTGCAGAATATTGCAATTATTTACCTTCAGATTCCGATTAAAGAATTTTTTATCTCAGAGTATGAAAACTGTTTTTACTCACATCTTCCTTAGAATTTAAATTATTAAGCTAACACAGCTTTGATATTATTATTATTATTATTATTATCGGCTTGACTCTGGATGTTGTTTGTCTGACTCTGATTAAATCTCTACTGACGTGTTTCAGGTGG